GTGAAAGGTGGCGATAACTTGCACATTGAGGGCTGTTGATGAATAAGCACCCAGGATGAAACTCCCCATAGAAAGAATTAAAGGGCTTATCTTTACTACATTAGTTCTGCTGGTATAGCTGCACCAGCAAAGCCCCCTAGTGGAGATGCATCTTATGGCTTTTTGCCAGTATAAGACGTGTCTCCCTAGGGGGCTTTTTGCCAGAATAGCTATGTTGTTTACAAGTCTGATTAGTTCTGTCGGAGAGACTATTCTTGTACTTTAAGGGTGTGTTCGACTGCTTAGCTCAGAACGACATGCAGCGTCCAGGATGCCTTCGTCCTCTACCCCTCATTGACTGTGCAGGGGACCTGGAACAAGACTTCACATCACAGGAAGTAATGACCAGACTTACAAAGACCAAAACCACAGCCCCTGGAAAAGATGGCATTAGCTATAACACCCTGAAAAAACGAGACCCCAATTCTGCCGTACCCCAAGCTTCTGGAAGAAATCTATGATGGGGCTCGTTTACAAGAAAGGTGAGTGAGACGAGCCCAGCAACTGGAGACCCATCTCTCTCTATTCCACCATGTACAAACTGTATGCCAGCTGCCTTGTGGCTAGGATCACAGACTGGTCTGTGAACGGAGGAGCCATCAGCTCCATCCAGAAAGGCTTCATGTTGTGCGAAGGTTGTTACAAACACAACTTTGTCCTTCAGACTCTCATCCACACAGCCAGGAGGGCACGGAAGCAATGTGCCATAGTGTGGCTCGACCTGGCTAATGCTTTTGGAGTGATGCCTCACCAGCACATTTTTGCCATGCTGCAAGAGTTCGGGATGCCTGAAAACTTTCTCCAACTGATCTGGGAACTTTCTGAAGGCTGCACCACCACCACCCGCTCCATGGAAGGAGAGACGCCTGAAATTCCTATCCGTAGTGTCGTGAAGCAAGGTTGTCCCCTCAGCCCCATCGTTTTCAATTTAGCCATGCAGCTGCTCATTCGAGCCATCTCCAGCAGTTTAGCCGGTTTCGACCTGTATGGCAACAGCGTGAATATCCTGGCCTGCGCAGACAATCTGGTCCTGATTGCAGACAACCTGGAGTGTCTCCAACAAATGCTCAATATCACCAGCCAGGCTGCCAACTGGATGGGACTCCGCTTCAATGTTAGGAAGTGTGCAACCCTGCATATCGATGGCAGTAGAAGGGACTCAGTCCAGATGATGCCTTTTCAGATCGAGGATGAACCTATGATCTTCCTCGAGGATGGGCAAGCATACCAACATCTCGGCATGCCCACGGGTTTCCACATCCAGCAGACACCTGAGGATACCATTGCGGAGATCTTATGAGATGTGGCCAGGATCAACTCCTCCCTACTGGCACCATGGCAGAAGATCAACGCCTTGAACACCTTCCTGATCCCCTGTATCTCATTCGTCCTGAGGGAATCTGCTGTGGTGAAGGTACCTCTGAACAAGGCAGACAGCATCACCAGGCAGCTAGTGAAGAAGTGGATGTTTCTTCCCCAGAGAGCCAGCAATGAACTGGTGTACATCTTACACAGGCAGGGCAGCACCAACGTTCCTGGTATGGTGATCTGTGCGACATTGCAGTGATCACTTCTGACGTGCCCGGACGTCTTGGTGAGGAACATTGCAGAAAGTGCCATGCTGGATGTCATCAAGAAGCGAATCGTCAGGACCCCCTTCAATCAAGATGTCGCCACCTACCTGAGCAGCTCATTGGAAGGCAAATTTGGAAGAGACCGGGGAGACTTTGCTTCGCTCTGGACTCGTGCCCACAATATTATGCGACAACTGGAGAAGCGTATCTGCTGCTGCTGGACATGGTGCAAGGAATGCCAGGAGCTGGGAGTCTTTGTGCCACAGGTGAAGAATGCAGAGCATGCAATCCTCACTCCGAAAGCTAGAACCATGCTGGAGAGGACCCTGAAGGATCCCATCTGCAGCCAATACGTGGAAAACCTGTAACATAAGCCAAACCTTTGAAAAAGGCTTTGAAAATTCATGGCGATCATGGGAGGTCCCGGATGACTGGAAAAAGGCTAATGTAGTGCCCATCTTTAAAAAAGGGAAGGAGGAGGATCCGGGGAACTCCAGGCCAGTCAGCCTCACCTCAGTCCCTGGAAAAATCATGGAGCAGGTCCTCAAGGAATCAATTCTGAAGCACTTAGAGGAGAGGAAAGTGATCAGGAACAGTCAGCATGGATTCACCAAGGGCAAGTCATGCCTGACTAACCTAATTGCCTTCTATGACGAGATAACTGGCTCTGTGGATGAGGGGAAAGCAGTGGATGTGTTATTCCTTGACTTTAGCAAAGCTTTTGATTTATTCTTGCCGGCAAGTTAAAGAAGTATGGGCTGGATGAATGGACTATAAGGTGGATAGAAAGCTGGCTAAATCGTCGGGCTCAACGAATAGTGATCAATGGCTCCATGTCTAGTTGGCAGCCGGTATCAAGCGGAGTGCCCCAAGGGTCGGCCCTGGGGCTGGTTTTGTTCAATATCTTCATTAATGATCTGGAGGATGGCGTGGATTGCACCCTCAGCAAGTTTGCAGATGACACTAAACTGCAAGGAGTGGTAGATACACTGGAGGGTAGGGATAGGATACAGAGGGACCTAGACAAATTAGAGCAGTGGTCCCCAATCTTTTCCATTTGGCAGGCACCGGACGACGAGCCACTGAGGACTGTGGCCGGCGGACAAGCATCCGCCGAAATGCCGCTGAGAAGCGGCAACGTCAAGAGGCGCCGCTGCCGAAATGCCTCCGAGAAGCAGTGTCCTCAAGAGGCGTCGCCGCTGAAATGCCGCCGAAAATGCCTTTTGATTACACTGCTTCTCGGCGGCATTTCGGCGGCGATGCCTCTTGACGTTGCCGCTTCTTGGCGGCATTTCGGCGGATGCTAGTCTTTCAGCCAGTATGCGGGCGCACATAGATGCCCCGGCGGGCGCCATGGTGCCCAGAGGCACCGCGTTGGGGACCACTGAATTAGAGGATTGGGCCAAAAGAAATCTGATGAGGTTCAACAAGGACAAGTGCAGAGTCCTGCACTTAGGACGGAAGAATCCCATGCACTGCTACAGACTAGGGGCCGAGTGGCTAGGCAGCAGTTCTGTAGAAAAGGACCTCGGAGTTACAGTGGACGAGAAGCTGGATATGAGTCGACAATGTGCCCTTGTTGCCAAGAAGGCTAACGGAATTTTGGGCTGTATAAGTAGGGGCATTGCCAGCAGATCGAGGGACGTGATCATTCCCCTCTATTCGACATTGGTGAGGCCTCATCTGGAGTAGTGTGTCCAGAGGGCAACAAAAATGATTAGGGGGTTGTAGCACATGACTTATGAGGAGAGGCTGAGGGAACTGGGATTGTTTAGTCTGCAGAAGAGAAGAATGAGGGGCGATTTGATAGCTGCTTTCAACTACCTGAAAGGGGGTTCCAAAGAGGATGGATCTAGACTGTTCTCAGTGGTACCAGATGACAGAACAAGGAGTAATGGTCTCAAGTTGCAGTGTGGGAGGTTTAGGTTGGATATTAGGAAAAACTTTTTCACTAGGAGGGTGGTGAAGCACTGGAATGGGTTACCTAGGGAGGTGGTGTAATCTCCTTCCTTCAAGGTTTTTAAGGTCAGTCTTGACAAAGCCCCGGCTGGAATGATTTAGTTGGGGATTGGTCCTGCTTTGAGCGGGGAGTGGGGGGGTTGGACTAGGTGACCTCCTGAGATCCCTTCCAACCCTGATATTCTATGATTCTAAGGCGTTCGTGGTGACGTGCAACTGGGACGCCAGCAACCACTTCCTCACCAGGGGCAGCTTCACCTGATTTGCCGATTGGAGGTTCATCTACAGGGCCCGTCTCAACTGCGTTCCACTGAACGGTGCTGTCGGCCACGGGAATTGGGACAAGTGATGCAGGAAGTGTAACTATGCCAATGAGACAGTACTCCACGTCTTGTGTAGCTGCAAGCCCCATTCCAGAGCCTGGCAGCTGCGACATAACGCCATCCAAGATCAGCTAGTCAGAGCCATCCCGCCACCCGTAGGAAAGGTGGCTGTGAGTTCTGCCATCCCTGGAATGGACAGTCAACTGCGACCGGACATGGTCATCACCAACGCGGACCAGAAGAAGATCATGATAGTGGATGTCACAGTGCCTTTAGGGAACAGGACCCCGGCCTTCCGTGACCCCCGAGCTCGAAATGTGGAGAAATATGCCCCCTCTGTCCAAAACCTTGAGAGCCAAGGGTTACCAGGTTCAGACACACGCACTGATCGTTGGAGCTCTGGGTGCATGGGATCCCGGTAACAAGTGGGTGTTGAGAGAATGCGGAATTGGTCAGCGCTACGCTCGGCTGATGTGGCAACTCATGGCCATCAGGTGGTCAAGGGACATCTACATAGAACACAGCACTGGACATTGGCAATACTGGGAGAGATGAGCTGGAGTGCCAATGAGAAGCGCAGTCAGGAAAGTATCTGAAATACTTTCCTCATGGATTGTATTTTTTAAATGGACAATCTACGCTAAATTCTCAATTACTGAGGGACAATCTTCACTCATTGCTATATTTGCTTTCCACAACCAACTCTCTGTATAACTTGTCATGAGTAATGTACCGGACTACTTGGATGCTAATATCTAAACTGTATTGTTAAATTTATTTATCTAAATTTGGGTTATTGCTGATTATGCACTATATGTATCTTATGACTTTTAAAACAAAATTTTTATCTGTGGATAATCTAAGCACTATACCCAGATGTACAGACACTCCTTTCTTAACCTGTGTACTATATAATTTTTTAACATTAGCTTTAATAAAATTTTTAATTCCCGCACCCCCACTCCTAACCAACATAGTTATGCCAGCAAAACTCTGTAGTGTAGACCTGGCCAAAGATGCACTCACATTTGTCTGTACTTAAAGCTTGGAGGTTCCTTTTGTTGCAGAGCATCTGCACAAAAGGAGGGTGGGTGCTCAGCCCCGGGTTGCCGTTCCAGGGTATGTGCAGTTTTGGGCAAGGGATTTCTCAGGTGTAAAACTTGGGAGGAAAAGGGGCACATAGTTTGTTGAGCAGTCAGACTGGAATGGAAGCTTTGAGAGAGACAGAGGCACTAGACCAGGCGTGGGCAAACTTTTTGGCCCGAGGGCCACATCTGGGTATGGAAATTTTATGGCGGGCCATGAATGCTCACAAAATTGAGGGTTCAGGTGCGAGAGGGGTGAGGGCTCCGGCTGGGGGTGTGGGCTCTGGGATGGGGCCAGAAATGAGTTCAGGGTATGGGAGGGAGCTCTGGGCTGGGGCAGAGGGTTGGGGTGCAGGGTGGGGGCTGCGGGCTCTGGGGGGGGGCTGGGGATGAAGGGTTTGGGGTGCAGGAGGATGCTCCGGGCTGGGACTGAGGGGTTTGGAGGGCTGGAGGGGGATTAGGGCTGGGGTAGGGGGTTGGGGTGCAGGAGGGGGTCAGGGGTGCAGGCTCCGAGTGGCACTTATCTTAAGCAGCTCCTGGAAGCAGCAGCGTATCCCCCCCTCTGGCTCCTACGCGGAGGTGTGGCCAGACAACTCTGTGTGCTGGCCTGTCCGCAGGCGTCGTCCCTGCAGCTCCCATTGGCCGCAGTTCCCGGCCAATGGAAGCTGCGGGAGCGGCACTTGGGGTGGGGTCAGCGTGTGTAGCTCCCTGGCTGCTGCTGCGCATAGGAGCCGGAGGGGGGACATGCCGCTGCTTCCGGGAGCTGCGTGGAACCATGGCAAACAAGCCCCGGACCCTGCTCCTCGGCGGGAGATCGAGGGCTGCATTAAAACGTCTGAAGGATCAGATGCGGTCCCTGGGTCGTAGTTTGACCACCCCTGCACTAGACAGTTGCTTCTGTAGCAGGGCAGAAGTGCTAGATTTTAAAAAGCAGAGTACAGAAATATGATTAATTGATGTCTTCCTTCTAGGATTCTTTGTTTTCTTGCTTCTGCCTTGTAACCACTAATTATTCTCTTCTCCAGTTAGACTGAACATTTCTCAATACCAGTTAAATTTCTTGTAAAGAGACAAGTAAAAGGTGGGATTGACATCCGGGGGTGGGGGATGTGCTTAGCTTGCTGCTCAAGTAAAGGCATATACAATGCCTGTAACCATTAGTGGGATCGGCATGCTTGATTCTCAGTTCAGTACACTGAAATCTCTAAGGATTCCTAGATCCACCTACTCCGTCATGCTTTCTGTAAGTGTTTGAAAACAGTTTTGTCCCATCTGTACTAGCAGCTTAATCATTTTCAAACACAGGTTCAGGGGGATAGCATTTTTATTCACAGCATTTTTCCGCAGTGGTCAGATCCCTTGTGACCTAAACCTGAGTTCTGCCTTAGAAGGTGTAAAACTTTGTCCTATAGTGCTTATGTGCTCTGTTCACAAAGCATTCTGTAGCATCTGTAAGGGTTTGTCTTCACTGCAGAGCTAAGTTGGGTGTCGTCCCGACCCCCACTTCCATCCACACACACAGCTCCCTCATTCAAGTTTAGTGGTGTTTTCAGTCCCCAACTACCTGGCTTGTTGTGGGCTGTGGGTCAGCGGTTCCCAAACTGGATAATGACCCCAGATGGAGTCTTGGCAATCCCTAGTGTGCGGAGGATGCCATTTTTCTCCGCGTAGCATGACCTTGCATGTTACAGTGCATGTGAGGTCACGATGCATGGAGGAATGCCATTTTGCTCTATAAAATGGCATCCTTTGCACAGTATGACCTTGCATGCACCATACGTATGAGGTCATGCAGTGCAGAGGACAAAATGATGTCCTCCATGCTAGGGTGCTTGAAGGAAATAATTAATCAAAATGGGGTCATGCTCGCAAAAATTTTGGGAACTCCGGCTGTAGCCTAAAGCCTGAGTTGTGCTTTCAAGCTGGTAACAAGCTGACTTTGCTGTGAGGATTTAGGCTAAATCATTCATGCTGATAATACCTTCCCACATTTCCCCTGCCCCCTTGTGTACTTAGAAGAACAGACAAGTTCTCCCACAATTCCATGGGAAAGGGAAAGGCATGAATGAGCATGGGGCAACCATAACTTTGTATTAACATTTTTTGCCAATCAATCTTCCAACATAGGACCCAGGAAACTTGTTGTTGATATAGCTTTGTCAGTAATGGATTAGTTTTCTTGTGAGGATGGGGCTTGAGAATAATGTGCCCTATCCTTTTAGATGATTCATTTAGAATATTTTTGGAGCCAATACACAAAAAGCAGAGAAACTAAGGGAATTATACTCCTGTTTCTTATAATGGTGTTTTAGCTTGAAACCCTGGCATCTCCATAAATACTTATCCATGAGCTTTTCTGAGAGTAGCTTGGTCACTTTTTTCCCCTTTCTTTTTAGAATCACTGCACAAAGACTTGCTCATTTGAACAAATGTTTGATGAACTTTAAGTTGGGAAATTTTAGTTACAAGAACCATCCGCTGAAATTGGGAGAACTGCAAGGGAACCATTTCACAGTTGTTCTCAGGTAAAATGCTGCTATATGCCAGGACTTTGCCATTGATGGCCTTCTTAATCAAGTCAGAGTTTTTCAGCTATAAAGTAGGGAGAATACCAGGGGATCTGAGACTACTTTTTTACTACTCTGAAACTTTTCTCAATCAAGCTGTGGGGGAGGGAACTTGCTGGATTTAGAAATGCAGTATACAATGTATGTTGACTTTTAACACTGATGATGACTGCTTTCAGGAGCACAAGAGTACAAGTTCGAACTGATCTGATGGCTGTAATTTGAGATGGTTTTACTGTTGAGTGGATTTTTAAAAATAATTTTGTATGTTATTAGAAATATAACAGGAACTGATGATCAAGTACAGCAAGCAATGCACTCTCTCAGGGAAATTGGATTTATTAATTATTATGGAATGCAAAGATTTGGAACCACGGCTGTTCCTACATATCAA